TTATTTTTTACAAATGTCATATATGTTTGAGTCTGCTCTACAGCTGGATAATGTCAACATTTCCACCAACATGTCTTCACAAACTAAAACTATAGTCTGTATTTAAAACAAGTGTCATGACCAGAAAATTAGAAAATCATAAAGAAATCATGTATTCTTTAAATTGTCATTATTAAAATGTATTATTTTTGTTATCAACTGGTTGATCGTTTATTATGTTCTCTCAAAATATTGTGTATCTCTTATTCATATCCATATCCACGTAGACATCAGTTCTTGCAGCTTCTATTGTGAAATTATGACATCATGACATCATGATGTCATTATATCATGACATCAAACATCATGACATCATGATGTTTGATGTCATGATTTGTAGACAGCCCATTAGAGTCTAAGGCCAAACGTCTGTCGTCTGTTTCATGAATTCTAGGAGCCATAACAGATCATGTAATTAGTTTGTGCAGAAAGGATTACTGCTGTTGGTTTGGTTAAGCTCTAAAGACTATTAAAGAAGGCCTTTGAAATGTGAAGGAAACACATGAGTGATCCTCCAGCGTGTGAACGTGTCAGTGTGTCTGCTGTTTCTGACAGTCAAAACGATGGGATTATGTGGAAGGACGACTCTTACACGGTTTGAGCGACAATACGACAGCATTTCATCCGATTATGAATAAACCATATCAGAGAAGCTGAGACCGTCGGGCAATGAGGTGCAGCTTAAATGAGCAATTAAATGAGCAAAACAAGCAGTTCAGTGGGTTAGGGTTAGTGTTGGAACAGATAGTTTACTGTATTAACAACATTTAATTCTTCTCTAAAACCAAACGTTCTCCAAAATGTGGTAAGAATGTAAAGTCTGAAATCTGTCTAGATTTAAGATTGGTCTCTGGCTCTGTAGTTTTAGCCTCTGATGACTAATTGACCTCTGCAGAGATAGATCAGACTCCATAGTCCACCTACGATACTTTTTCTGAGGTGAATATGGAGGGTTGAGCTGGTGTCTGAGGATAGGATAAAATATTCTTTTGATTAATCGTTTTGTTGTTCGGACGCCAAAAGGTCAGTGAATATGGGATTTTTATACTGTACTTTTGACCAGAACAAAGCTCAAGTGATGCCGCTGAAGAACAACTTCATAGAGATAACTTTGGCTTGGGTTGTTTGATTGAAAATACCTTGTAAACACTCATTTCCTTCTGCAGACATTAGAGAATTATATAATTTTCTTATCGAATCAGTTCAAGTCTATGAAAGGATCAATAAAGATTTATTGATTACTTAATTAGTTGACAAATCTATCTTCCTTTTTACGAAAAAAGTATTAACCTGGTACAGCCCTAGTATATATTTTGTGAGTTTGGAGTTAAAACTGGTTCAAGTTCATCCCAGAATGTTTGTTCAATAAGAGGTGGTTGGTTTAAAGGAGCTATACCCGTTTCTCCTAGGTTTTTCTGAGTTTGAATGTTTAGCACAGCCCCCCAACTCGCTCACAGGCTTCTCATTTCCCCTACGCTCTCATCCCACGGAGCCATCTAGTTTTTGTGATCTGATACGTATGCTAACGTTAGCATTAGTGCAACTTCTTGTAAGCTGTACAACAATCACTGATGAAATGGTACAAAAGCAACACGCTGCTAACAAAATATAAAACTGAAAGATTACCGCTAGTTTTGCGTCCAAATGTCCGACCATAGATAGTCCGAGGTGGTCCCGCGCCCGCCGGTCTCTCCCAGGGGGGGCGGGTCCCGGCTCAAAAGTGGCCAAATTGATGTGCGCTGACATGCTTGCAATACCACCCCGGGCCGATGGGCGTGGACGCGGAATAAGAATTAGCCAAGCATCTTCTTACCTCTCAAAAACACCTTTACAGGATGGTCCAAAAGTTGGCTCGTGGCCCAAAGCTCCGTTCCAAGTGTGTGTCAATGCTGAGGGGGGTGAATCTTTTTGGATCACTCTAGTTTACTCGCTGTGAATTTTTGTAGTCTCTCGTTAAATGAATGGGGCTTGTGCCGGCTGACACATGCGCAGATGCGCTTTTTCCATGGCTTTTTCACACTTTCCAGCCCCCGCGGCCATTTTGAATAACTCCATGAGAGCCCAATTTTTGGCCCATTAGTAAGAACGGCGGAGACAGGCTTGACTACGTAATATATACAGTCTATGGTCTCTCCGGAGGATACCATGTAAGCTAACGGTAAGCTAACGCTACGTATGTTCACCCGGGCTTTCACTGTTGAGTCATTTGGGCTGTTTTGCTGTGTACGCAGTTACAGACAGAGGAAGTAGCCACTTTTTGATAATATGCTGCTGTGTTTACCACCAGCGCTGTAGAGTCTAGAGGAAGCAGGCTATTCGCTCCTCGTTCCGTGAGTAGAAGAGAACGGGACATTGGTGTAATAGGGATTACGTCTAAATCCTTGCTATATCTCTCTCATATCAATAACTAGATTAAATCACACATTTATCACTACTCGGCCGCATAATGACGGGTTTGCATCACAATCCTCTGAAGATTTGAACTTAAAGAACGAGAGTTGCTGCTTCTCGGCCCGTTGGTAATTGTGTGCCCTGTGATGGATATTGTGTTTGCATAGTCAATGTGGGACTGCGCGTATGTTTATTCAGACTCTTGTAAAATATTTGCACCGCCCCTCCTCTGGCTCATATGATAATGTGCATCATTTTATTCTCTAACAAATGAACAAACTGTCACCGCACGAACAAACAAAGGCGCAGAGGACAAAGGCATGCCACGCGCGTGCTTGTGGTGATGACCTCCTGCAGAGAACGGATTAATAATTTCGAATGAAGAAATCAGGAGCTCTGTGAACTCCTCTCGAAACTGCATTATTTATCTGCATCACAATTTACACAAGGAACTCAAATGTCAAACGGAAGAGAACAAAAAACAGGAGGAAAATTGTTTATTCGTATCCAAATGCTTGCTTTTGGTTGAATTTGATGCAATCTCTTGATAGTGAGTGAAGTGCTGAATTTGCTAAGAAAAACCTTATGAAAACATTTAGTTCCAAAAATCTTTTAATGTTTTTCATTGGGATTAAACAACATTATGAGTCAAAGAAATGCCAGTGTCCTTCGTGTCCATGCTTTTCTCCAACGCAGTCCACACGGTCAATGTGTTGAAGGAGCACTTACGCTTTACTAAATCTCCTCCTAAATGTGAGTAACTGATCGGAGTACATACAATTATGTAGTTACTATGTAGTTACAGTAAGCTTTCCCAAAAGACCTTACATTACTTCTTTAATAAACAACAAATCAAATGTTGCTCTAGGTTTATTCTGTACAAACAAGCCAAGCTGAAAGAATTAAGAACACGAATAATAAGCAAGTCTCTTATAATAAAGCAGAAGATATATTCCTATAAATGTCTCGAAAGGAAAATGAAAAGAAAAGACATTTAAAGCAAAGCAATCATACTCAAATAGACTACAAGAGAGTACACAATACTACATCAGCAGAACTCAGTGAGTAACTTTAAATGATGTCAATAATTTACAAGTTTGCAGCGCACTTTTAAGCACCAAACCCGTGTCTGGTGTGTTTCTATGTATGTCCCTATATGAGCAAGTTACAAGGCATTGGAAAGAAATTACAGTAAAAATACATTTTAATTATAGTAAGCAATGTGTCATGAGAAATATGTATAAAATACCTTGATTATCTCTTTCTATCGATGAGATGTAATGTCACTTCGCTCCACACTGCAAGGGATCAAAATAGATATCACAGAGTAAGAAAAAGCTCTCCATACAAATCCAACTGTAGAAACATTGTACTAAGTTCTTGCTATTGTTAAAGTCCCGAAAAAGACGACAATGAAATGCACTTCTCAATCTTTTTCACTGCCTCAAATACGTGATTATTATAAAATGATTGCAGTGAAGATTCCTATCATGACAGAGCAAAGGCCAGATGTCGTACGTTTTGGTAGAAGACATACAGAAACCCTATGGACGTTCACATCCTAAATACGGCTTTACATGTAGAGATCTACGTCACAGTCTTTACGCCAGCGCCAGGGTCACAGGCACCGCTCCAAAAGCATTCATGTAGCTGTTGTTCCACACCTTCAACTATCCATTAAATAGTGACAAACTCAAACTATTCTATTGTTTTACATATGTTTTGGAGAGGTCTTCAACGTTCATCGATGTTAGTGGCTTAAAACCTTCAACGGCAGCGACCAAGCATTCACTTAGAGTCCATTTCAGTAACACAGTATACCTTAAAGGACTATATTCAACAAAATAACAGTTTTTTTCTGGTTGATTTAGAATTTTCCCGTCTCTTGAGAGGACAAGCTACATGCGACACAATATCTGTACCCTGACATAGGCAACATGGTTTTATTGCACGAATAGAACAAGATCCAGGCTGTGTTCACACTCGTCTACTTCAGACATGTCTCAAGTTTATTCCCAGTTGTAATGTGGTGTGTGGTAGTGTGAAAGTCACCGTATAGATTAGCGCATGTAGGAGTTCACACTGGTGATTATACTGTGGCTGTGGGACAAGTTTTGTTTGAGATTTAGATTTCTGAATCCAAGCAATTTCTTAAGCCCAAAGGCCAATGTTCTACCAACTGAGCTTATGTCACCCCCTGTTATTAGTTATTGAGTATTTTAATACCCAGATGATCATGTGGTGTTCATTATTGATCGATGAGGTTTAAGATTGGCATTAAATGCAAAACTAGTCAGCGTGTTATTTTTATTTGATGTTTTCCAGTCAGTTCTGTAGGTTTTGTCTATAAATGACAATACTAAAATTGTGAAAATCTTCCAAATCATCCACAATCATTCACGGTTTTCACCACTGACCTAATGTTTCCTGATATCTACACTTGGAACAGATTTTAAGTGTAGATTTGCAAATTTTCCAAAACCTTCTAAAACTCTTCTTTCGCAGCACAGGAGCAATACCTACATGAATGCCTTTGTGACGCGGCACACGCCCAGGGCAGCCATGGCAGGTTATACCCGAGTGGTGGAATGGGTGCTGGGCAGACCCGTGGAGCTGTACCCGGCGGGGAACGTGCTGTAGGGGCTCATACTGGACAGACCCATGAGCGAGTTGGGGATCATGGTGATGTTATTGGGCGTCATCAGCGGTATGTCGTCGGGGGAACGGCGCTGTCCCAGAGAGTAGTCCAGACTGGGAGACACATGGATAGGGTTGTGCAGGGCCTCACACTGGTTCCTCTGCTGGGACGACAAGCTCTCATCCACAGTGTTGGTGTGGCTCACGTTGTTCCCCTTGCTGTCTCGCTGCGGGCTGGGCTGCTGCGACGTATCCTGCCGACTGCGCTTGTCCTTGCGGTAGTAGAGAGCGGCGAAGGCGAGGACGTTGAGGAAAAGCAGGGACGCTCCCACGGCGATGGTCACGCTCAGCTCTGTGGAGTAATCTCTCGGGTTGGGCATGATGAGAGGGCCCATTTCTCTGCTGCCGTCACCGTTATGAGACGTGGACACTGGGGTGCGCCCCGTCATGCCCGCCCTCTTGCCGTTGGCCTGTGTGGGGTCCAGGGGGGTGACTTTGGTGGTGGTGGAGGAGTAGTGGAACATGTCGTGGAGGTTGTAGAGGTGGGGGACCAGGTGCTTCCAGAAGGCCACCTTGGTAGCACGGTAGTGGTCCCGAATGCGAGGTTTCAGCCCGATGTGAAGATAAAGCTGGTCGTACGGGTCGTACTTGGACCAGGCCACTTCCTCAAAGCGGTTGGCCTTTGTGTGGATGAACTTTGTGTCCTGGGGAACTGGTTTATTAGGATCCCTATAGAAAAACAACACAACAAGAAGGGTAAAGACAATGTTCAATAAAGGTGAGTGAAAATAAAAGCTGCCCCAAGCAATGTATGAGGAAAAATGTCATAACAGAGTATTTCCTCAAGGGCACCGCACAACTTTTGACTTTCAGCAGCTCTATGTTGCACAATACTCCCTCTTATGCAATTAGACTATACAAAATTATGCAATATTAGAAAACTATAATTTGCCAATGGAACAATACGCCATTTTACCTAAAAATAACTTATATTTACCTTCTCACCTGAAGTCTTGACATTTTCAAGATGTGTTTGTTCCATCTGCAAAATCTTATCAACAACTGATCAAATTTAGACTACTACATTTAAATGCAGCTGCTTTTCAGTGTATAATCCTACATATGCCATCCTACGTAGACACCACTATAACAAAAGTAAGTTAAACATTGGAATTACTGTTGCTGTTAACTCTCCTCAATAACATTTTATTTGAAACATAAATTAAATTCAACAGTTTCTCTGTGCAAATAACTCATAGCACCAAAATAGGTTGTGGTAAGTGTCATAGAGCTTCCACTCGTTTTAAATGTTATGTAAATCCTTGTAAATGGTAGCAGGATTGCCCCTAAAATATTCATGCTCTGATATTATTCTAACAATCTATTCTATCTATTTAATTAAAAGCATTACCATAAAAGCGAGAGTGGGTCCAATGTTACAGAAATAGTACAGATCTCAGTAGATCTTATACTGAGGCCATTAAAAGTCTGCACTTCAGCTGTGTTTGGGCTGTTATAATAAAGCTAATTTATACACTTTTATGTTTAAGAAGTTTCATAAAGTGAACTAATTACAACAGCTTCAAGCACCAGTCTCTGCGTGAACAGGAGGGAGACGGCAGAGAAAAAGGCCGTGACAGTTCAGTCTGCTCTTAATTAGGAGCAGGACTTTGGGCCGAGTCTTGTAGTCTTTTAATCAGGGCAATAAAAGAAGGGTACATCTGAGGTGGGACAGCTTGACAGAAAGAAGGCTGCTCTGGCCAGGTTAGATTTAAAATGCCAATAAAGCAGCCATTTTAGGCCAGAATCTAATGCGAAGGCAACAATGGCTTTTACTCAAAGGCGGAAGAAACCAATTACTATTCATACAGTACATTGACGTTAATTAAGTGTATTTTGTCAGTACGTTCCTTGAAATATATTTTACTTACTATATATTTTACTGATTTTTTGCAACCTGGTTTTTGTTATTTTATTTTTTCTCCCCAGTTTTCATAAATATAACTTATTCATATGTCGGTAGTAAAGTGGGTATAACAGAGTACTTTAGGTATTACTTGGGACAGTGATGGGACAGAACAGTGAATTCAATTGAATTTTAAAAAGTCTCATGTTCTGCTGACAAAATGGTTGTTTCTAGTTTTCCAAGGACAGTAATAATTGGGCGAGCCTCTTTGTTGTTCCTTGTTTTTCTACTTGAACCTATACCATATTCTCTTGACCATATTTGATGTCCAGCCAATAAGAGAAACATACTGTACCAGGACAGACAATGGGCAATGTGGGGAAAGCATTTACTTTTATTTCATTTGAAATGAATAGACAATCAAAGGCAGCTCTGCTCACCTACTGTATGTGCATCGCACATCTTTGGAAAAGCTTTAAAAAGTCCAGTTTGCAGAGACTCACTGTGACTTATAACAACTCCTTGAGACTGCTGCAGAAGATTCCTCGGCTCAGCAGTGCTAGTGAGATGTTTGCCTACTGTGGCGTCGGCTTCTGTTCTGCATCACTTAGTAATGTGCAGTTCATATTTATGTGTTGTCTGCAGAACTCTAAAAATACAATTGTTCAAACTCTGGTCAGCCCCGAGTTCAGCTCACTGCTGTTCACCTCCAAATTAAGGTCTTACTGGAGGTCATCCCTTTCTCTACAGCAGCTGTAATGTTCTGTTTTTTATGTACATATTTATTTTTCTATATGCAATACTGTATGTACTCCGACACAGTGACGGAGTGGAAAGCACTCTCGCCTCTCAACAAGAAGGTCCTGGGTTCGAATCCCGGTCGGAACAGGGCCTTTCTGGGTGGAGTTTGCATGTTCTCCCAGTGTCTGCGTAGGTTTCCTCCGGGTACTCCGGTTTCCCCTACCACTAAAAACATGTACAATAGGTCTGGCATGCGCCTCCAGTTCCCGCTCCTGACCCCGCTCCCATCTCTGTGTGGAGTGAGAGGACAAGTGCCCAAAAATGAGAAATGTAAACCGCTTTGTGACTCTGGTCTGTGAAAGCGGTATATAAATAAAGATTACTTACTTACCTACTTCCTATTGTATATTTTCTTTTACCTATGAGCCATACTTAAAGCTGCACTAACTGACTTTATTTTTGTATTCATTACGAAAATGCTATCCATGTCCGTGTAGGGCATTGGGATATACGTCCTTTTGACGAAAAAGTAGCGCAGATTTGTGCTGGCGTGACATTATATTTTAGATCGAGTTTTGATGAAACAAGGAAGAGAATGTGTTTCGGGTCGCAGATTGTGACCAATCACCGCGGACCACTGGCCCCCACTTTTGTGAGAAATCTACAGGTCTCCGTTAGCATAGACGGCTGAGTTAGCACAACAAGACGAGGAGCTAACCTGAAGCTTCGTCTCTTCATCACCGGTTACTGCTTACACAGCAAGACAGCCATCCAAAAGAAAGTCTCGTTCCTCCGCGCTTCCTGGTTCTATCGTTCTATGGTCACGCCATCCACGTGCAAATCCATGTCCATGTATTATCCATATTGAGAGACGCTAGCTTCGTCCCAACAGTGGGTGTGTGTGGGGGGCGATAGCTTCGTGGGTGCGGGGAGGGGAGCAGAAAGAGAGAGGCCAGCGAGTCCGCGGCTTCAAAATCCCAAAGTCAGTTAGTGCAGTTTTAATTGTTTCCTTAATAAAAAATGAATAATAAGAATACAAATAGAGGCAGCACGGTGCCTGAGTGGATAGCACTCTCGCCTCTCAGCAAGATTGTTCTCCCCGTGTCTGCGTAGGTTTCCTCCGGGTACTCCGGTTTCCCCTACCACTAAAAATATGTACAATTGGTCTGGCATGCGCCTCCTGTTCGGCGACCCCGCTCCCATCTCTGTGTGGAGTGAGAGGACAAGTGCCCAAAAAATAACAATTGTAAACCGCTTTGTGACTCTGGTCTGTGAAAGGCGGTATATAAATAAAGCTTACTTACTTACTTACTTACTTAGATAAAAGTACTTTGATAAAAAAAAGGATTAAAAACAAAATATAACTGGTATGAAAAAAGAAATTGACTGCCCCTTACTGTTACTGCGAGAATTGGTATCTTTACAATTATAAATCTGAAATTGTGTTATGACAAACGTGAGATTGCAATCTTTTTGGCCCAGCTCTACTGTGCAATGTGTCGCCTCACGTGCCCTGCGCATACACAACTCATAATGAATGTCAACTTACCCGCTCTTGGCGAAGTTGGTCCAGTAGGTCATGACAACGGCGCTCAGCATGATGTCGTTCCTGGAGAAGTTGCAGGGGAACAGGTCGGTGGGGCCGACCATGGGGATCCCGAACACATAGGGCACCTCGTCCCCGTGGGCTGAGTCTGACCACACGGGCTTCATCAGGCTCTGACAGTGGTGATAGAACGCATAGAAGTAAGTAGGCGAACCATAGCGAGCGTGGAGATCAGCCGTCACCACTGAAGGCTCCACCCACTGATGATCGGTGAAGAGGGCCACCAGGGTCTTCCTCCTGGTCTCGGGGTTGTCCTTATCTGCCCAGTCTGTGTACATGAACTTAATAGTCTCTCGTAATGTGTCTTTACCTTCAGGATACCCGTACAAACTGTCCACAAAGTCTGACACGGCAAAGTCAAAGTCGCTCCCAGACACGCCGTCCTCCAAGTCCATGGCATTCTCCACGAAGCGTAGCCCCTCCCCTTGATTCACCCCCAGCATGATGTCGTAGTTCAGAAACTCCCCCTGCTCCATGAGGATCTCGGGGTCATCCGGGATCACGTCTCCATCGATGACAGGTCCGAAAGCCACGCGGTACCGGGCCGGCTGTATGTCCTGCTCCACCAGCTCTTTGGCGCTCTTCTTCTGCAGACACGACACCATGTCCACTGTGTCCAGCACGTTGCAGCCCACCCTCTCTGCCAGCATGCGCGTGTATTTGACCGGCTGGTAGTTGACCGCCCAGCTGGACAGAGCAGAGCCGCTCTGGATGATGGCTCGGTGGAACAGCCCTGGGACAAAACACACAGAACACAGAACAGATGTTGGTGGCTGCGCTCAGTGGTTCTGAAGCCCAGGGCAGAGTCACCACCAGGTAACAATGTTGTGCTTATGTTCATTAATTATGGATGGTTTATTCTAATCTGTGAGGCGTGACGATTAGAGTTTGTCAGTGGGAATGTGGTAAAACGTTACCATCAGTTAGAGATATTATTTAATTTTTAGTACAGTATCAATGTTAATTTATCTTGCGTTGCGTCCTCATTCCTGCTGTTCTGTAACTGGTGATGCAACACTGGAATTTCCCCACTGCGGGACAAATGAAAGATCTCTAGATCTTAATCTGATCATCTCTACTGTTCAATTAATGGTTTCTTTATTCAAAGGTACTCACAATTTTTACAGTTGCTCCAATTGAAAAAACATGTTAACCAATAACAAATATAACCTTTTTAAGAATATTTACCTCCACCATGTTTTTGAGAAGTCTTCATAGGCTTAGAAATTGATTTATAAATGTACATGAGGCTGGAGGACTCTCGATGTCAATGCGCTATCTTAAAATACAGTGGTTGATAAGGGACAAAAAGGAGTTTGACCGGGAGTTGGGGACCACTGTCAAAGACGACATATTGTCCTGTGAAGCTACCGTAGCACCGTAAATCACAAAATATGATCTCAGCAGTAGATAGGAGTAAAAACTTCACAGTGTACCTTTAAGATAAGAGAGCCACTCACCTGACCTTCTCTGTGTGATCCATCTGGTAATAAGCACCTGCTGTGTTTTTAAGTATGTGCCCTGATGAAGGCCACAAAGGTCGATGCGTTGGGGCCCCACTGAATAAAGCCTTTTTTATAATCAGTGCCTCAGACCTTTTAATGAGCCCTTTACATTCCACACTGGTGCTTCTACATAAAGGCTCATCTTTTGTCTTTTAAGAGAACCTTTATCTGTCCTAAAGTGGTGAATGTCTTATGAAAATATAGATATAGATATTTTACTGCACTGAAAACTCAATTTGTTATTTTATTCATGATTTATTTGCGACCCCTGAAATCCCATTTGATAGCACTTTCATTGTGACACTCAGACCAAACGGATTGAGCATCAAAAGCTATAAATAACAGGAGAAATAAAACATAAAAAATGTATTCAGTCCTTTTTGTTTTTTCATTGCCAGTTGTAGCACTTTCTCACCAATGAGGCAAAATTGCTGCAGAAATATGTACAATCCTATCTATATGATAACAACTAATTACCAAATAGACTTCAGATTTCCCATTTTTAATTCCTAATGAAGTCATGCTTGTCTTATCACAGTATAAAGCCAGACAGCTCTCCCCTCATTGATAATCTGAACTCAATCCAAAGTTTGCTCTGCACTAATTTTATGCAACATGTGATGGTTTTTGAATATATTTGGGAAGCGGCCAACTGCTTGGATAAAGGCAAAGCCGGTCTCTAATGCAGTCTGGAGGGCGAATGAGCAGCTAATGGGATGTTGGCCTCTTCCTTTGTTAGTTTAATGATAAAAAGTGACAAAATGTGTGCAGTTTTTGCCTGATCTGCTTATTGGATTGGAGAGCCAAGAATGAATCACTAGACATAACACAAGACTGCCGAATAGAGATCAATTTGCTGAGTTGTGTTTCGTATTGAACCACTAAATCAAGAATTCCTACGACACATACTGAAGCAATTTTGCTGCTGCAGATTGGATATTTCGGTGTAGGAAGAAAAATATGTAGCAAAAATATCACAATTTGCCATGCAGTTATTAATCCACTGTATAATCGTATAATTATGACTCACTGGATAATATAAGACACCAATGTGGCAGCATGCAGGCAGTGAAATATCTACATGTGGGATTACAGTGAAGTGGAGAAGAATCTAAATCAATCTGGAGTGGCAGCTTTTTTTATTTACTGTAATTTAAAGAATATTTGATAGAATTAAGAACATATTTTTTAATACCAAGAAGAAACAATAAGTTGAGATTGGATCCATTTCACTGTAACTCAAAAGAAAACAATATACAATTCTCTCCATGACTCTAGTTTCTCCTACCACACAAAGATATTTTATTTATATCTTTATTTAACCATGAAGAGATTAACCATTGAGATTTTAAAATCCCGGCCCCAGAGAGAGGGGAGCTAATGTACATGTTTTTAGTGGTAGCAAACCAGAACACCCAGGAGAAATCTACGCAGACACAGAGAACATGCAAAAGCCACACAAAAGGCCCTGTCTAAAAATAGAATCGAACCAAGGACAATCTTACTGAGAAGCGAGAATGCCAATCATTTAGCCATTCAATTCGTCACCTAAATATATAGTAGATTCAATAGTAGTTTCAGTAACCATTACTGACAAGCGACAGGGGCTCAGTTGGTAGAGCATTGGCCATTGAGCCTGAAGATTGTGGGTTCGAGCCCACCACAAGACTTTCTCCACCGACTCCCACTGATTTCTGCTGCCGTTGTGTCCTTGGGCAAGACACTTAACCTCTGGGAACGCCAGATGGCACAGTGTAAAGTGCCAAACTGTCGTTGTGTCCTTAGGCAAGGCACTTCCCCCACATTGCCTAGAATCAGTCTGATGTGTGTGTGTGAATGGTTGGTGGTGGTTTGAGGGGCCGATGGCTCATACTGGTTGTCTCACTTCTGTCAGTGTGGCCCAGGGCAGCTGTGGCTACAGTAGTAGTTTATCACCACTGTGTATTACTATTGTGTCTACCATGTGTTGTCTGAGAATACTTCCAACACATGCTCTAAGAGGGAACAACACGAAGCTAGGATATAATGCTTATGTGCTTATGTTGCACTCCATCTCTGAGAAGTGCTTGCCTCAAAAATCCTCTTGGGTATACACTATCAGACACGAGGTTAAAAAAAACTGAGGACAGTGTCACTTTCTTTGTCATTTATTTTAAATTTTGAGGGCAGCGAGAGAGCCAGGACTTCAAAGACCGCCCCAGGTCTTTGTGCAGAGTGGGGGCATCATCAAATAGCAAATACGCTCAAAAGCTGAAGCTGCACGCAAGGACAGCGATTGATACAGCACATGCTTTTCTGCTCCCGCTGTGATTTTGCGTTCCGTGTCAATGGGGAAAGTAGGGCAATAACACTACGAGATAAGAGAGCCCCAAATCCCAATGCACCACCTATATGAAAGTAAGCTTCAAGGTAGTCTTTCACTAAGTTTGTAGGCTTGCATAACACAGAATAAAATGTAATGGATTTGTTAGATCAATTAAATAAGTGAGAATCTGCTGATGACTATGACACCAAGCTAGAAATGAATTCAATCACACGACACAGAGACTGCTTTGAATTGTAGGCATGCCAGGGGGTTATGAGTAAATCTGTTTAGTAGAGCACATTCTCAACAGTACATGTAAATACAGAGCAAATCCAGCTTATTTGCTTCTACAAAATATCTAAATTAATAAAATACTACAAGTAAATATACAAAAACCAATCCTATTAACCGACTTGGCAGAGCTATTTGTTGACAGCAGAGCAACATATAGCCTACAGTGCAATTGGTTTAGCAGCAATAGAATTACAAAGAAGATAGCCTGATTGAAATGGGGTTGTGGCTTACCTTCGGAGTGATGTGACAGAGTTAGAAGACTGACACAGGACGCTCCTATCCCAGACCCAAACACGGTTATACGATTTGGGTCTCCTCCAAAATAACCAATGTTTTTACTGATCCAGCGCAGGGCCTGAATCTGGTCCAAGAGTCCGTAATTGCCTTTAGCTGCCTGGTCCCCCGTACTAAGGAAACCTGGGGATGAATACACACACACACACACACACACACAATGAGAGGCGACATAGTGAGCTGAAGATCGGTGGTCGGCTGCTCCGTCTTTGATCTGGAGTTGTAGCTCAGCAGGATATCAGAATTAACTGACACAATTCATCCTCAGGTGCAATATCTGGCAATCTCCCACAGTGTCCGGACAAATTAAGCCCTTGTAAAAGATTCAATGCAATAGCTGCAGCAATGGGGCCAGTGGGAAATGCTGTCCAATATTCTGCAACCTCTTAACCGTGCGTAAGAAAAATTCACATATAGATGAATAAATGTGTGCTTATTAAAGGATTTTGTTTGAATACGGTAAGGTCACAGGCGCTCAGCTGGATTGTATTCCCTGGTCGAGTCTCGTTTTAACAAGGCCTTGCTTCTGAATCCCTAATGAGAGGAGACTTGACATTGCTTTCATTGAAAACTGCAGCCGGTTTTGTACCAGCGTCTTAGAATAAACCTGTATTAATTAGTTAAATCCTTGTGAGAAGGAAGATAAATTGGTCTACAACAAATACAGACTGTTGTGAGTGACTTTGCAGTGATGGAATGACATCTGTATGCAAATCACAATCACTCCAAAGAGACAGGTAGACAAAGATAGTCTACCTCTATCAAATTGAGCCATGAATCTTTCAAAAACCTTATTTATGGCTCCCCTTGGAGAAAAAACAAGTGGCAATTAATGGCGATTATATTTTATCTCTGCACTAAAAGCCCCATTTAGGATGCCGTTTAAAGAAAGCATGCAGGGACACAGTGGCTTCACCTAATATGCCGATCCGGTAGTTGAGCGTGACGACCACAACATTCCCGTAGCTAGCCAGGACGCTCCCATCCATCATGTTACCCGTGCCCTCCATATAGGAGCCTCCGTGGATGTACACCATCACCGGCCGTGCTTCCGAGTCCCTTATATCTGCAACGTCAACACAGACACATGCCGACAAGCTGAGCAAACAACTGCAGTGGCCACAGAAATGAAATGGGGAATTAATAAAGCACAAAAGTTTACGTCCCATGTGTGAAGTATAGGGCTTGTTTTTTTTCCATAAAAATAGCTTACAGCTGGAGGTGAGACATACTTGTGGTTTAAAAGCAGTAACGATACAATGGAGGAGCCAGAGTATAGTGCTTGGTAGCAAAATAAATGGGTAGATGTCTATTTTTATACTCCATAAAAGTGATGCAGGCGAGTGGGTTGTTGTTCACCCAATCAGGAATCTGGGCTCTTCATGATAAATATATGAATTCAGATTTGAAAAGCAGGAACCTCACATCTCAGTTTATCTCTGTGTTTTAAGAGAAATCACTCCCGCGATCTATAAAACATGTGGAGCTGATACACAATACAGGCACTAAAAGAGGGGCATGAGGAGGTTTTATTATGTCAATCACTTGCATAGGCGTGACAATTTTACAAACTTATTGCACAATGTCTTTTTGCAATACAATGAAAATGTAATATCAATCAAGACATGCAAAAAAAAGCATCTTTACCTTCAGAGATATGTGTTTCTGCATGTGATGAGCCCTTTTTCTTATGTGGTCCTGTAGTAGATCAATGACAAGAACATAATTGGTTAACCGTGGCAGGGGGAAAATGATACATTGGACAAATAAACAGTAAATATTCAAATCTGTCGTAAAAGAAAGCGTCACAATCAGTTACCATGTGTGGACATTGAGATAATTGGTTTATCATCCGTGTCGATATGGATTTTCCCGTCTCTGCTTTCACTAGAGTAATGCATCTTTTCAGGATTAATTAATCTCCTATTTTCCACTACACGCTCAAGTAACAATTGGTGTTTGTCAAAATATGGGCAATATATATTTATACAGAGCAAGAAAGGGTATTGAGAAAATAATTAATATCTTATTATTTGTGTTTTCTTGATAAAAAGGAGATTTGTTTTTCCTTCTTGTCTTGCAATGTTGTTTCTAATCAAGATCAGTGATTGAAACGGTTGTTTTTTTAAATAAAACAAATATGCAGTCATAATATTTTGGATAACAGTACCGCCTGAAGTGTGGTAAAAAATAAATACATATTTATATAGTACAAATAATAAATGATGGATAATCTTTTTATTAAAATAATTTGGAATGCTGGGGTACATAACTTTTTATATAAACCCAACTAAACTAGATGAATCATTGAGATACACCAAAAGTGCTAGCACAGCTGTTGAGGTGCACAGTAGACTAATCGTTGTATCGTCGTTATTTCAACAAGTAGGCTGGACTAAATAATTTTCATAATAATTTTACAAGTAAAAAAATAAATTAACCTATATGGATATATCGTATTGACTGATATCGGCTGAGAAGCGGTCGACTCCTCTTTTCAAGATGTCTTTTTATTTTGACTGAGCTGGGATAAAGGGGTAATGCGTCTTCAGAAAGCATGTGTAATCAGTGCTCTGGAGTAACCCGGGTTACACAGCGACGTTTGTCACAGTCTTAGTTTACCATTGCATTGCTAATCTCTCCCGACACACAAAATGTTCTCCTGCTGATTCACTTCACCTCCGTTCAAACAAATACAAGAGCATGTATCTCCCCTTCTTCATCGCCATATCTGTATTTTTTTTATATGCTATTAAATTGCCAAAATATATCCTAAAATGCAGGGTAAGTGAAATCCAACCCGCAATAGACAGGCCTTGACTCGTGTACCCCGCTAATTGGCCCCCAGCAGACACACTGTAAAATTCCCCTTGACTTAATAAAACATGAAAGAATTACAACATGGGATTTGTACTAGACAACATAAAACATTGTGGCACAGCGTATTACTAGCTAAATGAGTAATTGCTTGTAATTAACTTTGAAATTAAAATAAGTGACAGGCGTGTGCTTGTCTCATCACTTTAAAAGCACTAAATTATGGCTTAGTTTACATGCTCCGATAGTTCCCCAACATCTTACCTCAGCAATATCACTTCTTGTGCAGAAGCTGAGACTTTGAGTCTATCAGTAGTTATTAAGCCAACCACACATCCATAGGTACTCAATAGCAGATAGTTGTGTGGAGGTGACAATGTAAGGAATGAGGTGACAATGTGTGATAAAAGTCAGATGCAACAGAGACGGCCTTTGCAGTTCTGAAGGTACTATGAGGTTTGTGCCTTAAGCGTTCAATGTTGTAGTATTTGTCAATTCACATTTAAATCTAAGACAATACTAAAATCTTATTAAACCAATACCATTCAATGTACTCAATTTATTTTCAAATAAACTCAATTAATCACTTAAGACACAGACTTTTGACATGAGAATATTGCAACAATAATAACTCCTTTTTCTAAATGCTCACCGTCCTCTGTGGGCGCGTAGATGTTGAGATATAGACAGTCTTCGCTCTGGTCCTGGATGTAGGTGGCCACTATGTCCAGGTTGTAAGTAAACCATATCGGCATCATGATCTCAGGTACAGTATTGTGGATGTTTTGGGGACAGACGGGCATGAAGTGTGTGGCGTTTCTGATTCCTGACCAGGAGGAGGGCTGTTCTGGGGGCATAAACCGCTTCTCTCCGATGGGTGGAGCAGCATATGGGACCCCCAGATACTGGTCGACAGGCCTGAGCACCTCACTGGGCACTGGGACCCGGAGTCCCCTTAACTTCCCAAACTGAGTGGTCACAGTGGGGTAGAACTTTTGGCTCGTGGCTTTGGTGAAGGACCAGCATGAGCAGAGAATCCACCATAAGAGGGCGCAGTGGGTAATTGTCACAGTCCCATGCTGGTGCTGGGGCAGGTGTGCAGGCGAGAGGTGGTCTCCAAAAGTAGCCGGCCACATGGTAAGGGGCAATATGGCGCCCTCAGGTGACACAAAACACTCACAATGTTAGTCTCCACTTAACCGCTCTGCACTGGTCTGGTCACACACGCATCACCAAATATATCCTTTATCAAATCCAAAGAGGTTGTCCACTGTTCACTTTTCATTGCAGTAAGTCCAGATCTATGAGGGGCAAAGACATAAAGGTTCATCGACATCAAGCAGTTAACAATATAGCTGGTTAAAATGTTTAGTTTGACAGCTATAAAACATGCATGATATAGTTCTTAGTCATGGTCAACAACAAATCCGTATCTTAATCTCAGGTCTGGATCAAAAGTTTTGTTGAGAGGGAAGAGTTTGAAAGAATCATGTGCTAGATGAATTACAAGAACATACAGTACTTTTACAGCATAACAGAGGAAACGCTTTTTGTTATCGCTGTTTCATGTGTAAATGGAAACATCTAAGGAAAGTGTAATGCCATGGTGTGGGAGTGATTTAAAAGCATCTTAAGATAAAATGTTTTGGTGACTATTTTTCCTCTTACAAAACTTGCTTTAATCTGCATGAAGGAGATTTAAAAAGGACTTCCTTAGAAAAGACAGTTAATTTTATTCCGAACAAAGGACATGTTTTGTCTGTAATGAAAAGGTTGATCTAAGTCTAAGGGCACATCATTTCCATCATAAACTAAAGTGATATTGCAGGTTAATTGAGGAAAGACTACCCGAGTGCATTTAGGATGAAAAGCTTTAATTTATTGCACCATTCAACCCAAGTGTCCTTAAACATTGCACCATTTCCTTAGGGTAAAATAGAAATCCTATCTTTGTATTGTTTTGATAAAGACTTTATATCTTCTTCATCTCCGCCACCTGTTAATTCCTTTTTCACAGCTAATGTTTTTCCTCTTTCCGCTCCGTTACATGCCCTTGCTTTGGTAAACGCAAATATCACTTCCCGTAATCACGCACACTGAGTTAAATGATTCCAAATAAAGCATCAGATGTGAACTCACCCATGGAGAGCACTGAGCAAACTAGATTGTGTTTTCCTCACAATTAACTACTATGTAACACTTCTTGTATTTGCAGGTACTTGACGGCTGCAGTTTCACTTTCTCCGGCTCAGGCTCATCAATGAACAAAGCAAAACAAGGTTGTTAACCTAATCAGATTTATTGACGAGTGGTGCCCAGAGCATTGCCAAAGAATTACCTCTTAAGAGAATGGTTTGTATCCAAGGGAGGAGGTTTTTTGACTATGTATTTAAGCCCAATAGAGTCCATAGGCTTTGCAACAGTGGAATCAGACTGAAGTTAATCTAAAAAAACGCTGCACCACAGTCATTAATTAACACTTGGGAAAATTTCCACTCAAATGTATACGGGGCGTCCTTCGTTCCCTGCTGTCTATCCAATATGTGACTATGATGAACTGCTTTCAAGGCATTATACTAGAAAAGATTGAAAACCTGCTTTTTGTGGCAAATCCGCAGCTTTGGAACTGACACTGGAAATACATCATCAGGCTTAAGTCATTGAATGGAAGACATTTTCCCTTGTCTAAAAGGTGCAGTGAAATTACACAAAGTTACAAAATAGAATTATCCAGATGCACACTGCATGGTGGACATTGCCAGTCACATTTGCTCACACTCTTGTAGCCTTAACAAGCAATCCTGTCAGAAAGGGGCATAGGAAAAAATAAAACAGTGTCAGAGCTTCTGAAGATCAAAGAGGTGATATGAATTCTTTTAAGATACACATGGATTTTTTTTGCTTGAATACACCAACATGGCCAATGGTGATGGACACTTGTTAGCTGTTCTCTGAATAAACCTGTTTTTGACCAGTGTAGGCTGTTAATTCAGAATGTGACCTTATCCTTAAGTGTGTTAGTGTAACTGTATGAACTATGTGCACTGGGCTGGAGCGGGGCTCTTTCTCCTAACGCTTTGCTCAGGGACAGATGTGGATAAAAGCTTTATGGCTTGTACCAAATGGGGCACATAATTGAAGAGAGCTTCCATGATAAACTGCAACTTTTGGGGTACTTTGGTCTGGCAGTGCATGCAATGTCTGCAAGTGTCTGTGTCTTGAAGAATTGAGATTTAACAATGTGTTTCACTGTCTCTACTATGGGAATGTCTAACACTTCAATTATGATATGACATATTGGGAGCCAGTAAAATTATCATGCTCTATAAGCACCACTAACTACAAAGCTGAAGCATTGACAACCACACAATTCAGCACCAATTCAACACTAATAAAAATCTGTGGGACAACATCTTATTGATTTGGCAGTGCTTGCCTGGGGGCCCTTAACATGAGAGCATTAGAGAGTGCGTCTGCATGTCACACTACAGCACTGGACCCCCATGTCCTTGTAACTCGTCTGATCCAACAGTGGAAGCGGGATCCCCATCATTCCATTATTGCGATACAGAAACAAAAATAGATTCTATGTACCATTTTCAAACACGCCAGAAATGATCTCAAAGGAGATTGTAATGTGACCGAGTCTCAATGAGATATGCAAGCCACAGCCCAGATAGCATCGACAAACTGCTGGATCGGAGCTCATGCGCTACTTCACGTTTCTACAAATGCCTTTTTAATTTGGGTCGATGTCTGAGGAATAATAACGGGCATTGGGGGAAAATAGTAATACCACAAAAGCAACACATAAAACGGCACTACAGTTATGCTAAGTGTATGATTTAGCACTGATGTCAGTGATCAATCTGCCGAGATGTGTCCCACGGTATAAACAGAATGATAAGGTAACTCACCTGCTTTACCGAAGCCCGTACGCGCTCCGTGTCCACATTTGCTCCATCTTCTGCCCGTCACTTTAGATCCAACACGGAAGGTGCGCACAATCTGTGAGCTAGGTTTCACTATCACACAGATCTTTGCTCTCTTATCTGCTGCTTTGCACGGTCTGTGTGCTTTGCGCATTCACGACGCCAAGGTCAGGAGCGCCATCGGTTTAATGGAGCGCCCACCACAGAGATCCGCACGGCGCCCACTGCCAGCGCGTTACTAGGCAACCACCGGGATACGCCAGTGCATTAAATTCAGTCCGATCCACCGACAAAATCCCAATTTAGAAACCATTAACTAAACACTATAGCCCGGACACTAAGCTATGCTCGCACCATTTGTGCAGAAAGCTTCGCTACAAGCGCACAAACAAGTGTCCTTATCCTCCGTGCGTGTCGGGGACTGGGTGCATGCGAGTAGCCGTATTTGCTCAATTAACAAAGGACTGTGAACACATCACGCCTCATGACACAGCCCAAGCTTTAGAAGGAACTTGGCATGAAAGAAAACTTCCATTATCAAGCTCCTCCTCAGTGCCCCCAGAGTTGTATTTTTCTATTTGAATATGAGCCGCTTGTAATTGCTGGTTGAGATAGAGCTACTATTAATTAGTCAGAGCAGTTGTCACGTCACAATTAGGGCTGCTCCCCAATCCGCAGTGCGCGGAGCCTGCGATGGCAGCTTGATGCTCTGTGCACTAACAAGCTGCTTGGATGGCAGAGCACACTACCTGCACTCGTTGGTCTCGATGGTGAGCACTGGGCACTTGTTTGAGTGGCAGTATGGTCCCTGTGGAGTGCTTGTACTCATACTTTGATTGAGATGGCTCTACTAGTCTAACTGTTCTATATTGTTCTTCGAAGTGAAAACAAAATAATACATAATTTTGTTATTTAAAAAAGAGGAGAGGTGTGGGGGCGTGGGTATACATTTGTCATTTTGTGGAACCCTATATTGCTGCAATCAAAAGACTACATGAGTTTACAAGCTTGGCACAGTTAGAGACTGCAAGTTTTGCCCATTAAGCTTTACAAAACAAAAACGTAGTGTATTGAGAGGGCGAACAGTAGTTTCAGATCTTTCTACATAATTTCAGCCTCAAGAAAAGAAGACACACAGAATGACGCTGCCACCCCCATATTTGATCCTGGGGATGGTGCAATGAGGGCGATGAGCAGTTGTAGTTTTGCGGCATCATGTTTTGCCTTTGAACCAAAAAGGGAATTTTTATCTCATCTGAGTCCTCCATATTTCTTATGACTTTCTGACTTTCTTTCATTAATTGACAATTAATGGATTGAACAATCTCCGTGAGATGTTCTAAGTTTTGGAAAATCATTGTAAATTTCTCCACTAATTTCCCCCCCGACCTTGTTGATGTGCTCTTCGGACTTCATGATGCTGTTTAGTGACCAATACACTCTAAACATAGCTCCGACGCCCTCACAAAACAGCTGTAATAATGCTGAGAGTAGATTACACTCATGAGGGCTCTATATCGTTAGGGCTAGATGTGCATCCAGCAGTCAATAGGAAATGTTCAAAGGCAATGTGATGATTAATAATGCTGTATGTATACATGTGCAAGCCCTATATTTCAGTCTTTTTGTTGGGTTTTGTCAATCAAAAGAACAAAATCATGCATCATTTCACTTCACAGTTGTCTGTGAAATGATGCATTTGAAACATTTGTAAACAACAAAGTCCCCATTTTTATAATTTACCATTAGTATAAAGATAAGATAAGATAAGAATTCCTTTATTCGTCCCACAGTAGGGAAATTTCGATGTTGCATCGCACATATAGGACAGTAGTAAGAGCACACAGGGAGCACACACAATACTGTATATACACTATATACAAATAAGTAGTAGCTATGTTTCTTAACTAACATAACTAGCTGTAGATGCTGAAAATGCTTCAATATCAGTCAAAATATATACAGTGCCTTGCGAAAGTATTCGGCCCCCTTGAACCTTTCAACATTTCGCCACATTTCAGGCTTCAAACATAAAGATATAAAAATTTAATTTTTTGTCAAGAATAAAAAACAAGTGGGACACAATTGTGAAGTGGAACAAAATTTATTGGATAATTTAAACTTTTTTAACAAATAAAAAACTGAAAAGTGGGGCGTGCAATATTATTCGGCCCCCTTGCGCTAATACTTTGTAGCGCCACCTT